GGTCGAAGGCCGCGGCCACACGCTCCAGCGTCTCGCCCTTCCTCACACAGTCGCCTGCGGTGAGCACCGGGTCGTCCGCGGGCGTCAGCCCCCGCCCCGCCCGCTCCTTCTCCTCCAGCCAGGCCAGCGTGGCCGCCGCCTCGGCCGCCAGGCGCTCGCGCTCCTCGCCACCGATGTGCGCGTACCGCTCCTCGCCGCTGGCCGCCTGCTCGGCGCGGCGCTGCGCCGCGGCGCGCAGCGCGGCGGCCGCGACGGGGGCCTCCGCGGCCTCGCGCGCGCGGCGCGCCGCGCCCTCGCCCAGCGCGCGCAGCTCCGCCAGCTTGGCCACGTACACGCCCCGGCTCTCCTCCTCCCCCTCCTCGTACAGCCAGTTCTCGGCGTCCTCCAGCGCCGCCAGGATGGAGGTCACGCGCGCCTCCGTCTCGTACGCCGCGTGCGAGCCGCGCAGCGCGTTGCGCAGGCCGTAGATGTAGGCCTCCACCGCGTTCTTGGCGTCGTTGGTCTCCTCCTGCACGCGAGCCTGCGGATGCGCGGGGGGAGGGGAATGGGGTGGGAATGGGTGAGCTGTGTGTGCCTGGATGCACACACTGGAGAAGAGAGCAACTGACTGGACTGTGGAGGAGAGGCTGGGGTGTGCCTGGCTCCAAGACAACTCCACAGAGAGTCCATGCACAGGGGGGATCGGAACAACAGGCGCGCTCCGCAGGTCTGATCCTGAGGCCCACGACTCCCGATCCACAGGTCCTCCTCCGATTCCCTGGACACCTCCTCCCCGTGATTCACCCCCCTCCCCCGTCATTCACCCCCTCCCCCGTGATTCACCCCCCTCCCCCGTCATTCACACCCTCCCCCGTCCACATCCCAGCCTTCCCATCTCAACCCCTGGCCCCTCCCTCACCCTCGGCCCAACCCCCCCCCTCCCCCCCGCCATTCGCACCTGGAGCGCCATCTCGGCCTCGGCCTCGTACAGGCGCGCCAGGTCGGCCTCGCTGCGTGCCGTGGTGGCCTCGGAGTGCGCCACCGCGGTCTTCCTCACGCGCTTCTTCTTGGCCTTCTCGACCGGCGGGGCGGGGCCAGGCGCGGGCGCACCGGCCTCCCCCCCGGCCTCCTCCATGGGCGCGTCGCCGGTCTCGGCGGCGGCGGCGGCGGGCGCGGGGGCTGGTGCAGGCGCCGCTGCCTCCTCCTCCACCTCCTCCTCCTCCACGGCCACCACGCTCTCCAGCACCAGCACGCTGTTCAGGTTCAGGGTCACCTTGACCTTGAGCTTGGCGCTCTCGGCGCCGGCGGGCACCGCAAAGGGTCCGATCTTAAAGGAGCCTGCGCGCAGTTGGTGGCGAGAGAAGGCGTGAGAGGACACGGCAGGTGGTGCAACCGGACTCAGATGTGGCATGGTATGGAGGCACTTCCCACAGCATCTGGCAGGCCTGCCCGTCAGCCTGCCCAGTGGCTGCCTCGGCTATGCATGTCTGGCCACGACTCGGGACGACAGCAAGCCAGTGCACTCCTCGGCAGCACCTCTCACAGCACCCGCTGAGGAGGCATGGCAGCCCCAAACGGCAGTCCCTCCGGAGCCGTGCGGCCACTCTCCACACCCTCCTCTCCAAACACGAGCCCTCCATGCCCCCAACACATCGCCCCTCCCCCCTGGACAAACCAACCGACCCACCAATCCGCGCGTCGGCGGTGCTGGGCAGGTCGGACTCCGGCGTGTAGGCCGCCTCGATGTCAAAGGGCTCGGTGCGGTAGAAGGTCAGCATCTTGGCGCTTGGAACGTGGGACCCGCGCTCAAACACGGTGCTGGTCACACGCTCGCCCTCCTTCTGCCAGGTGAGCTGGATGCCGTAGGGGAAGGTGTCCTGCACCTGGAAGTCACGCACCCTGAGATGGGAGTGGGGGTGGAGGGGTAAAGGCTTGAGTGCAGGCTCCAGGTCGTGCAGGGCACAATGATGGTGTGCTACTGCGAGCAGGTAGGAGTGAGAGGGGAGGACCGCCCAGGCAGGATGCATTGGGGTACCGAGCTTGCAGCTCGGGGTCCATGCACTACATCTGCATGTCTGTGAGCATCAGCCTCTTTCCCACTGAAGCCCTCAGGACCCTCTGTCACCCCGCACCTTCCCACACAGCCTCAACCACACCACACTACCCCCTACATCCCTGCGCCCCACCTCCTCCCCCCCCCAAAAACAACAACACAGGCCATGCAGCGCACTTGAAGGCCGGGGAGAGCATGGCGCACTGCAGCGCGCAGCCTCGAGACACGGTCTCAGTGGCGTTCAGCGTGCGGTTGGGCTCGCGCCCAAAGTAGTCGGTGACGTGGCGCGTGACGGCCGGCACGCGGCTGGACCCGCCCACAAACTCGACGTTACTCACGGTCTCGGGGGTCAGCCCCGCGTCCTCCACAGCCTGGAGTTGAAGGAGGAGGGGAAACGAGGGTGGAATAGCGTTTGGGGATGCGCAGGGAGGCACCTGACCTGCTGAGATCCATTTGTGCGCGCTCAATGCAGCCAGGCCCCGTCTTCCCCTCTCCATGGCAACCACAGAGTCCCCGCCTCTCCTCCCCCACCACAAGAACAAACAACAACACACACCTTGAGCACGGTCTGGACCAGCTTGTCCAGGGTGGCCTTGGCCTCCTCCTCAAACACCTCGCGTGTGATGGACCCTGCCACGTCCTTGTCGTCGGCAATGCACTCCACGCTGACCACCGCCTCGGGGTTGGTGGTCAGGATCTTCTTGGCCTTCTCGCATGCGCCGCGCAGGCGGAAGCTGGCGCGTAGGTTGCCCTTGATGTCCAGCTTGTACTTGGCATCAAACTCCCTGTTGGTTGTGAGAATGGAAAACCGTCGGTGAGTAGGTTGGAAGCGGGGTTTCGGCATGGGAGTGGCATACAACTCCAGCTGTGACGGGGGGGAGTGGGGAGTACGGCAATGCTTGGTGATGCTCATATGCCCATAGCAGCCTCCAAAGGCCATGGGCACCGCCCAGATGCTCTCAATTCTGAGCAGACGAGGACCGGAAGGACCACCCCCCACCCACCAACCCACCCACCCACCTGACAAAGTGCTCGAAGAGGACGTTGTCAAAGTTGCGGCCGCCCAGATCGCGGTCCCAGGCGGAGGACAGGACCTTGAGCTCGCGGCCGCGCAGCGCCACCACGCAGACCTGGGTGGCGGAGTACCCCACGTCGATGAAAACGACGTTGACGGGGGTGTCCTCCGGCAGGTCGGTGCGATAGATGCCCCAGGCCAGCGCGGTGGCAGTGGTGTCGTTGAGCAGGCGCAGGCACTTGAGGCCGGCGGTGCCGGCCGCGGCCAACATGGCGTGCCGTTCCGCCTCGGTGAAGTACACCGGCACCGCCAGCACGGCGTCCGTCACGGGCGCGCCCTGCTCGCGCTCTGCCAGCTGGCGCAGGTCCACCAGCAGTGCCGCCATGAGCTGCTCGGGGGAGAGGCGCGTGGCGGCGCCCAGGTACTGCACCTCCACCTCGCAGCCGCCGTCGGCGCCCTCCACCACCTTGTACGGCAGGTACTGCAGGTCGGCCTGGATGGCGGGGTCGGAAAACTTCTTGCCCAGCAGCCGCTTGACCTGGCTCACGGTGTTGCGTGGGTTGGTGGCCATCGCGCCCACTGTGCGGGAGACAAGAGAGGGAGGAGTTGAGTGTCGGGTGGACGGACGGCTCATGAAGGGCACACAGGGCTCTGGCATGCTCAGAGGGAGGGAGGGCCGCGGGCGGGTAACAATCAGGGTCCCGTCTCTCAAATTTCATGACAGCGGCTGGCCATGCAATCTCAGGGAGGTGGTTGCTTCCATTCCAACGACCAGCAGTCGTCTGATCATGCCGAACACCCCCGGCCCCCACCCTCCAGCAGCCGACCTCGCATATTCCCCACCCACCAGCATCGGTTCCCAGTTGGCGCTGCTTGGCATTGAAGGTCAGAACGCTGGGTGTCTCGCGGTTGGATTCTTTATTCAGGATGACATCCACACCTGTGGGGCACAGATGCATGGACTCAGGGGTGACGCATGCAGCCGGGGCGGCAAGTGTCCGGGGCGATCAGGACACGGTCAAGGTGCCCCAGCCACCGGCTGCTCAGCCTCGCTCACCTCCCTTGCGTGCCAGGGCCACGCATGATGTTGAATCTCCTACGTCAATGCCTGCGACAGACATGATCACGCCCGAGCTGAGCGGTGAGAGTTGGTGCGAAGTGGCCGCCGGGGGTCGCTGGTGCCAGGAATAATATGCAGGGGTGCAGGGGTCTGCGAGTAGCTTTTCAGTGCGCGAATGTGTACAGGATACTTGCTCCTGATGGCCAGGCACCCTGCTCAAGGCCGCGAGGGGGGCTTGGCAGGTGCGCTCATTGGCTTTGGAGTATTCTCGAACTTCCCCAGCGAGCGCGAGCGCCAGGATGGGTGTGCTTCCTCCCGTCTTGATCCCAGGTGCCCCGTCCAACAGTATCATCGGGGTTTTAAGTCCGTTGCATGCACGACCGATTGGAATACATGAGTACAAAGGAAACAGGGGTCACAGGCTCCCTGGGCAGTCGGCACGCAGTGTGGGCAGGGGGGGGGGGACAATCTGTGCTGACTGGAGATCAGGGCAATCTAAGGGGGGTCAGGGGAGGGCGGCGTCCACCGCCGCACGCCCCGGCCTGGGGGGGGGGTCTGTCAAAATCCCCCTCCAGCATGTCAGGTATGGCAGAGGATATTTCAAGGTGAGGAGGGAGAGGGGGGTCCGGGGGAGCATGGGTCGGATGGCGAGGATCAGCGAGGATGATGCTCGGGGGGTCCGGGGTTGGAGTGGGACTGTGCCGGGACGAGGCGCTGCTGCGGCGCGGGCATGCCGCTGCCTCGGTGGAAGGACGGGGCCAAGTGCCCACCGGCCCGGGCCGCGCCATCCCCTGCGTCAGGCTGACGCCCGCGTCACGGCCTCCGCCCTCCCCCCCGCCCGCTTCTTGGAGTCGAAGATGCCGCCGCGCAGGGACAGCGCGGGGTCGTAGTCGTCCAGGCGCTGCGGGTTGTCGCGCGTGCCGGCCCCAGCCCCCGCCGCGGCGCGCAGGCCCTCCACGCCGGTCAGGCTGTTGTGCGCCGCGTAGGCCAGGCGGTCCAGGGCCGAGTCCAGCGGGCGCCGCGCCAGGTCCTCCTCCCGCAGCTCGCTCACGTCCAGGAAGCGCTCGGTGGCGGCCTCCCAGCTCAGCCGACGCGCGTCCTCCTCGGGCAGGGGGGCCGGGTCCTGGGTCATTGCGTGCCGCACATGCCGCGCAAACTCGTCAGGGGTTCTGCCGGGGTGTGTTGGGGGTGGGGGAGACCATGGGATTGTAGGTCGGCGCGAGGGGCGCGGGGGTGGGGTGGGGGGATGATCCTGGCCCGAGATGACCCGACAAGCCGCCATCGACGGGACAGGACCTCGCAAGGGCCTGGCCAATGACTGTCCTGCAAGGTAGCCCTCGTCCTCCCCTGCACAGAAAGCCACATGCACCAACACACGCAGAGAACAACTCACCCTCTGTACCCCCTCCCCCCCCCCCCAAAAAAAAAAGAACAACACCTGTAGATGAGGCAATTTTTGAACTGGGTGAAGAAGGCGTTGCAGGGCAGGTCGGCGCAGACCACCCACTTGCCCATGGCCAGCGCCTCGGCGGTGGTGGTGGCCACCACGTCCGAGGTGCTGGGGTTGACGAAGCAGCGGTAGTCGTGGATGGAGGGGTCCAAGTGGTCCCGCGCGCCGTGGAAGGCCAGGGGCAGGCCCTGCTTCGCGGCGCGGGCCGCCACCTCCTCCGCATCCTCGCCCGTGCCGTAGCAGTCCAGCGGCGCGCCCTCCAGCGCGGGCCCCGCCTGGGACACCAGGTCCAGCAGCTCGGTGTAGCCCTTGCCCCACACCACCTTGCCGATGAAGTAGGCGCCGCGGCTGAAGCGCGCGGCGGGGGAGCCCGCCGAGCCGCCGCTGGCGGCCGGGGCGCCGCCCCCGGCCCCCGCGCCCTCGCCGGCGCCCGGCTCCACCCCCTCGGCCCCCTCGCCGCCGGAGCCTGGCGCGGCGCGCGCCCCAGTCGCGCTCGCCCGCCCCACCGCCAGGAAGGCGTCGGGCACGCCGTGCACGAACTCGGTGACCTCACGCGGCAGCGACTGCACCGCGTCGCTCAGCTTGACCACCTTGTGGCAGTGCGCGCGGCAGACCAGGCGGTTGACGTGCTTCAGCACCAGCTCCTTGGCCCAGCCGTGCTCCTCCCTGCGCGCGTAGTCCAGGTAGTTGGTGTGCATGACGCCGACGACGTGGCGGAACTTGTCGCTCCAGCGCGCGCCGTGGTGGTACCAGTTGAGGTGCTCCGGCTCCTCCAGCACCGCCACGTCGGCCTCGTGGTCGGGGACGTAGCGCGTGGGGTCGCCCACGGGGAGGATGCTGCACTTCTCGGGCGCGTAGCGCGCGGGGTAGAAGGTCAGCCGGAAGTCGGAGTCGAAGCCGGTGCGCTTGCGCACCCAGGCGCGCACCCACGCCTCCTGCGCCGCGGGGGAGTCGAAGGAGAGGTCGCCGGGGAAGACGCGGGCCTGGTCCGCAGGGGCCAGCCAGGGCACCATCAGCGTCACCGCCCGGCTCGCGTCGCGCGCCAGGTAGGCCGCGCGCAGCAGCGGGTTCACCGCCGTCCCCGTCATCCACGGCAGGCTGGCCGTGGTCACGATGGTGATGCGGCGCCCGGGGTCGCGCAGGCTGCTCCCCCCCCGCGCCCGCGCGGGGGGGGCGGCGGACCCGGCCCCGGTCGACGACGCCCCGCTGCGCTCCCCGCCCTCCAGCACCGCGGCAGCGCCCTCGCGCACGCCGCGCCAGGGCGGGGGCGGGAGGGGCGGGGCGGGGGGCCCGGCGCCGGCCAGCGAGGCCAGCGCGCCGGAGGAGGCCGAGGCGCGGAGCCAGGGCTGGCACGCGGCCGCGCGCTCGCGGGCAAAGGTGGCCAGCCGCGTCTCCAGCGTGGCCTTGTGCTCGGCCAGGGCCTCGCCTAGCGTGGCCAGGTTCTTCTGGCAGTGGCCCAGCGTCTCCTGCGCGTTCTGCAGCGGCGAGGCCAGCAGGTCGTCCAGCGAACGCGGCCGGCTGTCCTGGGCCTGTCGACGGTGATGGGAGAGGGTGGTGATCCTTGAGCGGAGGGGTGGCCCCAGTGCCAGGGGAGTAAAGGTATGACGCTGGCCATTGCACACAGCACGGAGTGCTGCGTTTCAAACCCCCCATGCGATGGCCTGGCGGTGCCTCAAAGGCAAATGCCCAGTCATCACATGCGATGACGCTCCAGGCACACCCACGCCGGTAGGACCCGCCCCGTACACCCCGTGCCCGGTCCCTACTCCGTCCCAGACGCTCATGCCCACCTTCAGGGCCTCTGCATCGCTCGCATGCGTGGTGCGCCTGCGTGGGATGGGCCACCCGCTCCCCAGGCGAGAACTCTGTCGGGCGCTGCGGGAGCTGCCATGCCCCGCCCGCTGCAAGTTGGCCTCGCTAGACGACTTGCGGAGACCCCCCAGGCGGGAGGGCCGGCCCTCCCCGCGGCTGGCGAGGACGGACAGGTCCCCCGCCAGGCGAGCGGTGTTCTCGTTCAGCTTGGCCACCTGGGACTGCGCGGTCAGCATGAGGTGCTCCCCGTTGCGCTTCACGTCCGACAGGGTGTCGCTGACACGGGCCAGGGGGGCCAGCTTCTCCCGGCTGAACGATTTGGCCAGGCGTTGGAGGCCCGGCTGCCAGGCCTGGGGCAGGAACGCGGCGTCTTTGGGGCGCTGGTCAGCCATGTGGAGGTGTCATACCATGATGAAGGCGGTAAATGTACCCGACGCGAGCCAGAAATGCAAAAAAGATGAGGCCGGGGGCTGATTGAGGCCGGGCACACGGCAGATTCTGTCAATTATCGGAGCGCGCCCGTGCTTGAGATCTGATGCTTCTCCTGCCGTCTGAGATTTCCCTTGGGCATCTGGACACGGGAACGGGGGTCCCAATACTTACAACATCCATTCCACACAGTCACGCCGAGTCAAGTCTCCCCGTCATCGTCCTCGTCAGCAGAGAAGGAAAGGATCGTGCTCCTTTTCTTGACCGGGGCCTTCCCCGACCCGGCCAGCGCGACTGGCCTCTCCTCCGCTGCAGCGGAGGCCTTCCTCTTGAAGCGGTGCTTGCCCTCGGCCTCCTGCTTGCCCGCCGCGACCCTCGCCCGCGACAGCGCCTCCTGGAACTGCCCGTTGGAGGGCTCCAGCTGCAGGGCGCGCTCATACCGTTCCAACGCCTGGAGGGGGGGGCGAGCACCCTCGTCCTTGAACCTCGATGCTCCGGCAGGTGCCTGGCAGGCGGGGGACGAACAGAAGAACAGGCAAGCAGCACACATACTCCCCTGCCACACACCCTGACATGGTCCTCCTGGCCAGTGTAGGCGGCCGCCAGCCGCGCATGCGCCTTGGCCCAGCGTGGCTTCAGGCCGATGGCCGTCTCCGCGGCCGCCGATGCGGCAGGCCAGTCCTTCAGGCTGGCGCGGGCAGCAGACAGGTTGCTCCAGAACACCTCGTCCCTGTCAAGGGTGAATGGGGGAAGAGCACGCTGGCCGGCCATCAGGAGCTCAGGCGAGGGATGGGGTTGAGCCTCGAGGCAACCAAATCTGTGGAGGCTCTCGTTCCCCTCGACGTCCACACGCATCTGAGCAGCGGCAGATCCCCCAGTTCATCCCCACCAATACCCTCCCTACGCTTTCATATACCTGGGACAAAGGACCACGCATTCCTGGAAGTGCCTGGCTGCTTCATCAAACTTCCCTTCGTTGAACGCCCGGTTCCCCTTCTCCTTGAGCTCGCCAGCTTTCACCTGACAGCGCCGGGCATATGAGGAATGTGGAGGAGTGCGCGTCCAGATGAAGCGGCCGGCGGCGATCACACTGCCTGACCGTGACAGGCTGAGGACAGATGGCCAGTGTTGTGGGAGGGCGCTGCCCACTCCCCACCTCTCCCATGCGCCTGGCGCATGCGCGTCTGTTACACACCCCATGCCTTTCCCATCCACCAGACCTCAGAAGGCTCACGACGTGCCTCCCACCTTGATAGCCACATCAGCCAGCTCGGGATGCTGCAGGAGGAGGTTGGGGTCTGCGGCCAGGGCCTGGGCCAGGGCCTCCTCCTTCTCCCGCGCGTCGTCCTCCGCATCCGGCTCGTCGCTTTGCCGCTTCAGGGCCAGGTCGTCGTCCACCGCGGTGGGGTCGTCCTCGCCCTGAGCGCCCTGCCCCTTGCCGAGGAGATGGGCATGGGCCTGCAGGAATTTGGGAACTTGCCGGATGAAGGTCAAGTTTTCCTTGCTTCTGGATCCTGGAGGGTGTGTGGGGGAGGGGGGGACAACTGATAACAGTTCAAAGTGTGTTCACCATGGCTGCATCGATGGCTTTGCGACGGAGCATACATCCCGGATGAGCGTGTCGGAACTGTTCCACTGACCTGCCTGACCGCCGCCGGATTGCCCCTTGCTGGAAGAGAAGTTCTGATGCTCTCCTCGATCCTACAAGATGCAGAGCCGTAGAAACGTCAGCTGAAGACAAGGTCTCAAACCAGAACAACGCGTACTTGATCAGAAACTCACCTGGGAAGCCATGGTATCTCCATACTGATCCTCCCCTCCTGTTCCAGCACCACCACCGCGCCCTCCGCGCCTGCCCATCCCCGCCGAGGCTCGTCAGCAAGGCTTCAGCATTTGCAGGCGACTAAAACCCAATCACGGGATGTGAATCGGCACAGCTACCCCGCAGAGACCGGGAGCGCTGACTCTGAAGTTGGGTCAAGCTGCGCGCCTGGGCAGGGCGTTCGCAGCTGCCCCTCGCTTTCCTCCGCCGGCTCCTCCGATGTTCGGGGCTCCAGCCAATAGTCTGTGCGGTGCTGGCACCCACGACCCCACTCCGACTTTTGTTCCACCCATCGCAGTCCGACCTCCAGCAACCCAGCACGATGGCTACAGTCCGCCCAGTACCCGCCCGCCCCGCTGTGCCGCAGCAGGCGACGCGCTTCCAGCTCCCCATTCGCAACGAGAAGGGTAAGCCGTGGACCCGAGGCGAGGACCGATCGGAGACCCAGATCCCCGCTGATCAATGCTTCAAACCATGCTCGCCCGCCCCACGCCCCCATTTTCCGCAGTGAGCGACCTCCTCTTGTGGCGGGACCCAGTTAAGTCCGGGGTGGTGCTGACCCTCGCCACCCTGGCCTTCGCCTTCCTGAGGTACGCGAAGTTCAACGCGATTGTGGTCACGGCCTACACCCTGGTCGCCATCGTGATCGGCAGCTTCGCCTGGAACTCGTACGCCCAGTTCGCCAACAAGTGAGTTGGGTGGTAACGGGGTGGAAGGGGTCCAACACCCGCGCAGGAAATGCAGGTTGCGGGCCGTCCGGCGTACCTCTGAGGCCTCTCAGCCTCCTTTTCTATCAGTTCTGAACCCTGCCAAGTGCCCCGACCCCGAACTGTGTCCCGAGTTGGGCAGATGCATGGGGCCTGCCACTGGTGGTGAACGGCTCGGGTCCACCATGCCACTGCCCAGCTCACATTGCAAGGTTCCCCTCCACCGCCTCATATTCTGTATTTCTTCCAACTCCCTCCTTTGCAACCACAGGGCCCCCGTGCCGGTACCCGAGGTGCTGAAGCGTGGAGTGACTGAGCAGGAGGTCCAGGCCGTGGCGCAGCGCGGCACCGTGCTCATCAACCGCGTGCTAGGCTTCCTCAAGCGCGTGCTGCACCTCACCGATCCCATCGCCACCGGCCAGACCGCCGCCGTGCTGTACGCCGTCGCCCGCATTGCCGGCCTCGTGTCGCCCGTGACCCTGGCCTTCGTGCTCGTCCTGCTGGCGTTCACGCTGCCCAAGATCTACGAGCTCCGCAAGCCCCAGATCGATGACGCCGTCGCCACCCTGAAGGTCCAGGTGAGTGGGAGACAGGGAAGAGGGATGGGAGCCCATGTCGGGGCAATGGTGTCGAGGGCGGTGTGAGGGGGTCCTGAGATGGACTGCGTGTATGACCAGAAGCACACAGCAGGTGCTATGACTTGGCAACAGCCTTCCTTTGTCCGGCTTGCCACCTCATTGGCTGCGCGCCTACCTTCCGCTCTGCCCTGGTGACTTGGGGTTGCGGGGTGCTCCCTCTGCGCACCCCAGATCCTTCCACCACAGCTCGCCTGCCACATCTGACCTCCACCCGCACCCATTCCTCCGCCTGCAGGCCACCCGCTTCTACGACCAGTACCTCAGTCGCTTTGTGACCCGCATCCCACGCGCGGCCAACGCCGATCCCATCGAGATCATCGATAAGAAGTCGACCTGAGCGACCGGTGCCAGAGGCCCGGGAATGGCTCGGCGCAAACGCTCCACTCGTCCCCTCATAACCAGTGGGGAGGAGGCCGGGTGCGTTGACGCTACATCACCTGACATGCTCTCACTCAACCATGGACCTCCCTGGATGGGGTGGTCCATGCTGGATGATGAGTCGATTGAAGCTGAACCCTACCCTGCCATGTCTGGGTCTCTCATGCCCTCCCACACGTCTGAACGCTCTCAGTACCCCTAGATAGAACTGCATGTGATGCATGCCGGGTGTCAAGAACTTCCAACTTCTGTGAACGTGGGCAACAAGGGGCAGGCACCAAGACTTGCGATGAGGTTGAGGGGCCGGTGCGCGCGATGGTGCGCTGAAGTATACCAGTTTGGAACGCTGCAAAACACCCATGCCCATGTGACATGTGAGGAGCCGGGGTGGAGTACACACAAGCATGGACAAGGCATGCAGGACCCTTGTTTGAAAACCCCGCGCCTGCGGCCCCACGCCAGGCACCATGTCATGGCCGCGCCCCGCTCAAACAGCGGTCCAGGCCAGCAGCAGCTGCGCGGTGTAGTACATCGGGAGCCCTATGGCCTGGTTCAGGAAGGCGCGGGACACGAAGCGCTCCCGTGCGACCGCCAGGTCCGAGACGAAGAAGAGCGTCGCGCCAAGGAGCAGGGGGATGGGCCTGCTGGAAGCGTGCACGGCGGCCCCCGCGCTGATCACCATGCCGCTGATGACGGCCAGGTAGGCAGCCACCGGGAGCACCATGTCTGGCGGCAGGTGGGGCGCCAGGTACGCCCAGGCCCCGGCGACGGCCGCGGCGACCGGCACCCCAACGGCGGCGGCCGAGGGGAGGTGGGAGCCCTGGGCGAGGAAGGCCAGTGCGTAACAGGCGTGGCCCAGCAGGAACGCTACCAGGCCGGCCAGGAAGGGGCCCGGCGCGCCGGTGATCAGCAGCGCGTCGCCCAGCCAGGAGAGACACTGCGCCGCCAGGACGCAGCGTGCGTAGCGGAGGCGCTGCGCGCCCCGTGCACCGGCCCAGCCGGCCAGGGAGACGAGTAGGAAGCCGGTGGAGGAGAGGGTCTTGGCCAGGGCCACACCTCTGCGCCGGGGGTGGGCCTCACGGACCACCAGGGCCGTGCAGGCGAGTGTGGTGAGGAGTGCGCCCCACCGAGCCAGGCCCCTGGGCGGCTTCATCGTCGGAGGGTGAGCGTCCGGTCGCCTTGATTGTCAGAGTCGATCCGCGACCCTGCACGATGGGCAGAAGCCAAATACTGTAACCATGCCCCATCCATTTCACGGAGGCATCGACTTGCGCAGGGTCCCCCAACGTTTCGTAACAAGTCGTACCGGAACGCCGGCATCCTCCCAGTTTGGCTCTTTCGCTGTACAATATCTGTTATCGATATCGCTGCAGCTCAACTTGATTTGTCCACAAGGGTTCCGGCGATGAAAGCAAGAGGAGCTGCTGACGCGATGGTTCGGTGAGGTCAGTTTTACACAGGCCTGTGGGATTCCGGAACCCATCGCTTCATCAGCCTCTCCTGGACGGAGAACCTGGCTAGGCACTTTGGGCTGCTGGTTTCCAGAGCTCCATTGCATTGAACAAAGAGCAGGATCAGGCGCTTGGACACCTGTGCTTTCATGGAAGGGTACTGTTGGCGAATCTTGCAAGTTTGCAGCCAGCATCTGTGGGCGACGACTCCTTGGATGCAAAGCTTCCCGTCCCGTTTCCCATACCTGGGCAGAGAGGCGGTTGGCTGTCTGCAGGTCGTGCCACTCCAGGCGTGGGCCCCGTGCCTCAAACTGGGGCACGACCAGGACTGCGTAGTCGCTGTGTGCCAGGGCGGGGTGCTTCTGGTACAGCACGTAGTCTGCCCCGTACTGCAGTCCGGTGCGTGGAATCCAGCCCTTGCCCCGGTAGTGGTGGTACCCCAGGTACATGACCGGGAAGTCGGGCCGTGCCTGCATGCACCTGTGCCAGAGAGCCTGCGCAGGGAGGGTGCTCTTGGTGCAAGGTCGAGGAGCTGCGGGGGTGGAGCTCTTGCTGAAAATGCCACAGGACCTGTGGATGGAGGCTGCCACCCTGTGGCCTGGCGGCCAGCAAAAACACGGATACCCACAGACGGGAGGCTGAGCCGTTCATGCTGTGCGCCCCACGAGGCGCATGCAGGTCCTCCACCCACCCACCCACCCACCCACCCACCTCTGTGTCCAGGCAAGGGGCTGCTTCACCAGCCGAGGGGGGAGGAAGCTCGGCGTGTACCGAGAGGATACCCAGGGCATGGGCGAGGAAGAAGGCCTCCTCCAGGCCCAGGCGCACGGCGTTTGCCCCTGGGCACAGCTCCACCCCGATCAGGCTGGAGACCTCGGCCGCCGTGCCGGGCCCGCCATCCAGATTTCCAAAGCACAGGGTGTCCAGCTTGTGCACCTCATCATCGTTGGCACAGACCCAGACGGCCGCGTCTCGCAAGAGGCCATGCAGCCCCGGCTCGGCAAGGGTGCCGATGACCTTGTTCAATTGAATAAAAGAGGTTAAGGGGGGCCGGCACAGCCACACGTGTCAAGAATGCCAGGCATGGGTTCGTCACACGCTCCAGCTCCACACAGCGCCCTCCACCTGGGCCAGAGCCGGGACTGCCCCACCTCGAGCTGGTTGGTGTTGAGCCTGGGTCCCCTCCGGTTCTTCCCCTTGCGTTGGGGTCGGGGAGCCAGCTCCGCCATCCCGCTACAATCCTATTCCAGATGCCAGGGTCTCTCAAAGACTGGATGCCATGCCCCTTAAACCATCCTCGAGACTGCTATGGCTGGCACTGACAGGTTGCGGGTCTGTGTCCGTGGCCTGGACAACGCTCTGCGGTCGTCGTGGCTATGCATGCAATGACAACGTGTCAAATATTATTGGTATCTTACCTCCTCCCTGCCTCATCGCGGCATAGAGTTTGCGGACGTGGGGTCCCGGGCGCGCGCGAGCTTCGTCGGGGGCGCGGAAGGGTGCTGGGAGGGTCCCACCCATGCGCACTGCTCGGTGTCCCACCCATGCGCACAGCTCGTGTGTGGGGCCAGGCTGGCATCTGACGGAGCGAACACCAATCCCTCCAACCCCTGCCCTCATCCAGCACCCCAGCCATGCCCCTCCTCTCAGCCCTGTGCCTGCTGCAGGCTCGCGTCACACCAGCGGCAGGTCAGGAGGCGGGCGGGGCCAGCGCCGCCTCGGCCGCGCGCTGCGCACGCCGATTGCGTCGGCACACGTCCGACAGTTCCGCCAGCGCGGCATGGAGATCCCGGCGCTCCGCCTCGCCCGCGCCGCCCCCCGCCGCGGCCGCCGCGGCCGCCGCCAGCCGCTCCCGGTCCGCCGGCTCCGCGGTCTGCGGCGGCAGCGCGGCCAGCGCTCCGTGCACCCAGGCCGCGCCGGCGCCGCCTGCCGTGGCCAGCAGCGCGGCCAGCACGTCCCCCAGCTCCGCCAGGCGGGCGGGGGCCAGCGTGCCCAGCGCGCCGGCCAGCACCAGGCGCGCCAGCGCCGCGCCGCGCGGCTCCACGGCGGCCCGCAGCGCGGCCGCCGCCGCCGGCCCCGAGCGCGCGGCCAGCGCGGGGTCCAGCAGGCGCGCGAGGAAAGCCAGCACGGAGCAGCAGGCCTCGCGGTGCTGCACCAGCAGGCCCGCCAGCGCGGCGTCGCACAGGCGCGCCAGCGTCCCCGGCGTCAGCGCCAGGCCCGGGCAGTAGGCCAGCGCCCGCCCCGCCAGCAGGAAGGTGTCGTCGGCCAGGTCGGGGCTGGCCCCCACCGCGGCCAGGCTGCCCAGCCGCGCGCAGGCGGCGGCGACCAGCGCGGCGAAGATGGGCTCCATGACCGCCACGTACCCGGGCTCGTCGCCAAAGACCTTGATCGCCTCGCTGATGACGTAGAGGTAGGCGGGGTGGTGGCCGGCCGCGAAGCGCGCGGGGAAGGAGGAGAGCAGGGAGGGGATCGCGCCCGCGCCGGCGCGCCCGGCGCTGCGCAGACCGTACCGCGGCGCGCGCAGGATGCGCTCCGTCGCCTCGGGGTCGTCCGCGAATCGATCTGGAGTGTATGGGGGGTGGTGGTGGGATATGGTGTATCTGAGGGGGAATGTGGCTGGTGGGTATCAATGGGGGAGGAGGGGGGGCGACGGCCACCCTCGCACATGTGGAGGGGAGCCGTGATCCTGCAAAGTGGGTGAGTCCACGGCGCCCTCCCTCCCACTTAC